GTCACGTATGGCACCTAAATGCATGACTGACTTGACAGGAAAGCAGAAAACTGGAAGAAAGTTCCACAAGAGAGGCGTGCAGAAGAAGAAACTATTGGCATAGAACTTACGGCTTCAACTCACAAAATCAAGGGTCATAACTGCCAATCTAATATCCCTTCTGTTGAGGAGTTCTCCCCTTTTTTTACACAAATGGACTCGCCCAGTGTATACATATACTACGGCTACGCGAAGACCCGAGAGAGCAAGACTTGGGTCGAGTCCAGAGTGACAGAGTAAAAGGTTGTAGGTAACCGGAAGAGGGAGGGTGAGGTAACAGCGTTGTAGGAGTCACAGTGAGCGAGCACGTAGACTCAGTAAGAAGTCATACAGTAATAGAGCGTGGACATTGGAGGCATTCAAATCGAAAGATTCGGAGAAGTGAATATGTATATGTAAACACTATGCCCAACATGCAAATTACAAAGTGAAGATAACAAAATCAAGCAATTAAAACAATTTAAAGGTCTGGGAAGTGTTTTAACTGTTGACCCGCGAGTCGAGAGCAACAGAGGGTGAAGGTGTCAGACAGGCAGGCAGAACGAACGTAGCCAGCAAGAGTCACCGTGAGCGAACACATAGACTCAGTAAGAAGTCATACAGCGATACATCAATACCAAAGACTGTATAGATATTTTGCTACTAACCCGTATTCCTGGAACTACTAACCCGCATTACCAGTTTGTATTATTACGTTAATACACTATTTTCCTATATTCATTCTTGGCGTTTGTTATTTATTGGTACCGGATTTCAACCCGGAACCCACAACACCTTCTATCCCCAAAAGCCAATATGGGAATGTTGCAAAATAAAAGTGAGCTAGAAAATGGTTAGGGTGACCCGGCCCAGACATCTTAACCCAGCACTATTCATTTGTAGAACTCTCTTCTGGCCTCTTGCTTCCAGATCAACTTTGATCTTTAAAAATTTAAATGCTATGTCAACCGTCATCTTCTTTCTTGTTAATTCGTGTGTTTTTTTTTTTTCGTTCTCTCATTTTAATAATATATATTTTCTTTTTCTCCTATTCGTTTACACCCAGTAACCATGTTCTAGTGGCTTTATTGTCATGCCTGGAGTGTAATGATTAAAAAAAACTCCTGAGAGGATTCTTCTCCAATCACTATGAACTACGCCTCTTCACTTTTATGGATAACTGTTATCTATCCTACATATTCTCATAAGACCTCTTTCTTTCAAAGGCATTCTAAGCTCTTATATCTACCTTATTCTGTAAGCCTCTACCTTGAGTAACTCTTGCATCTTGTATTGGATGAACAACTAGCATAAAAAATAAGTCCTGGGGTCTGAAGTAGAAAAAACCGAATCATATTTCAGAAGTTACTTCCGGTCAACGTTATGCTACATCCAGTTATATACTGCGGTGGGTAATCTGGGCTGCTACACCGCTAGATATGACATTCTGAAACAAAGACGATTAATATGAGATAAACGACTAATACTAAAATCATTAAAGTAGCAAATATCTGCTTGAATTGATCGCTGATTCCATGTTTAGGTGCCTGAGGAATATTTACCGAATTTAGTTGTGTTTGGTATAGAGCCAATCATAAGATTGTTTACAAGGAAATAGCTAAACAATACACCTTCTGCGCTCACTTCTGAAGAAAGCTGTAATTTTCTTCAGAAACGTATATATATATATATATATATATATATATATATATTTTCATATATATATATGGTGTATCAGCAAAATTGTCCAATTGTAAGATTAAGCCCTCAACGTTCTATCTTAGAAATGATTAAAGATAACTTACTGGTATTCTCCGAGGTTTTTATAAAACTATTGGATTCTACTTTGAGCAATAAGAATGTATAATTACTGTTACTGTCTAAGCTTAACAGAAAAAACGAAAATGACATGATCATCATTAAATAATCATAGATATGGATCGGAAGCTCATGAAGGTTGAAATAAAGTTCATATATATATATATATATATATATATATATATATATATATGTGTGTGTGTGTGTGTGTGTGTGTGTGTGTGTGTGAGAGAGAGAGAGATCTTGAGTATGGATATTGGTATCATTACTAAAGGCCTGAATGATCTTTTCCTCTTGCCATTGCTCATTTGGGAAGACAGTGTATTATGATCCATATTATTCAATTGGTTTAAACCAATTTAATATTCAGGATCATAATACACGTTTCAAGAAAAATATTATTAATAATACTGGCCAATGTAATTGTAAAAATTCTGATCAATGCCCATTGCCGAACAAATGTTTCACTAAATCACTTGTTTATTCTTGTACTATTTCTACAATAGAGAATCCAACAGTTGAAAAATTCCATATTGGCAGTACTAAGAATTCTTTATCAACAGTATTTACAGAAATAATACATCATTTTCTAAATAGTTTTGGAGTTTAAAAGATGATAATTAGACCCCTAAGGTGAAATGGAAAATTTTAAAAGCTGTAAGGATAAGTAGATCTTTATATAAACCCTGTTTTCTGTGCTTATATGAAAAACTGGAAATTATCAGATTCAATAAAAAATTCTTATTAAGTCAAAGGAATGAATTAAGAGTAAATTGTAAACATAGTTTACCTCTACCTTATAATTTACTTAAACTTTTGAATTTGATTATGGTTTTTCTTATATTTTAGTTGTACTGCGTTGCACCATATATGGCTTATTTCTCTATTTGTAACATTAATTTGGATTTAATATGATTTTGTATTAATCTCCAGGTAGTGTTAGTAACATCTTGTACGGATGTGTTGGTATTTGGTTGGTATATGAAGAATCTTTATTCAAAAGTTGCATATAAATTTACCAAATAATTCTGTATCTTTAAATTATTTGCTAGTTTCTTAAAGAAGTTATTTATTTATTAACTGTAAAAAATATTTAGGCAACTCACAAAGCAAACAACTTGTTTAACATTTTGTTAAATTGCCGCTCCACCATATTTTTTATTTCTTAGTTTATATAATTTATGCATCCATCAGCTCTTGTTTATGTTTGGCTACCGTTAGCTGCCAATCTCCGGATTATGACCCATTTAGAAAAAATATTTTTTTTTAATTTTTGCTTCCTCGCTTAGTTTAAATTTGACGTAGGTCAGATTTGATTGGCTGATCAAAGTAAAAGCCACAGGCCTTATAAACGCCTACTTTTTTTTCTTTTTTCGTAAAAAGAGGATGTATTTGCTTTTAAATCGAAATAAATTGTTCATTCGCCAGGAATTTACAATCGCCTGACTAGATACATTGATACGGATCGAAACACGACTGCAATTGTGTAAATGTTTTCGGTATAATATCCTAAAATAAATAATATTGCTCTACTTTGTATTGAACCCTTTGTAAATTAAATGTTACGAACGCTGGAATTGTATTCTATTCGTTCTAATCTTACCTGAATATATATATATATATATATATATATATATATATATATATATATATATATATATATATATATATAGTAATGATTCAATTTTAATCGGACATTTTATTAATTCACTAGAATAACTATAATAACGTCTGTATATCTGGGCAGAAAACTTTCTTTTAAACATATTTCATTAAATACGGCAAACAAGAGAGATTTAATCATTTTTTTTTTATTTAGGTTTTTACCAGTATCTTTTTTTACCCGTTTTGTATGAGAAAGGGAGTACAGACATTTTCCATATTTTCATTGTTCCAAGAGCTTTCCACCGCTTCTTTAGCCATTTTCAAAGGATGTTGTTTTGGTGTTATTACATTTTCCTCATATATGAATGCTTAAGTTTTATTATATTTTTGGCTTGTTTTGAATATATATATATATATATATATATATATATATATATATATATATATATATATATATATATATATTTTTTGTTTTAAATATTTAAAATATTGTTTGTTCAAAGAAAGCTGAAATATAAGCATTTACTCTCCAAACAACTGGACGAAACGACAAAGTGGGATCTCTTTGTGTCTGTCTTTAATTTGAAAATATTTTACTGAAAACATTGTCTGTTTGAAGAAAGTTAAAATAAAAATACTGTATAAATAACTCGTATTTTTACATCTTATTCATTTAAATTAGATTAACCTAAACCATTATATGCCGGACGGATGTACCACACAAGCACGAACGGATACACAGTATTAGATAGATAGATAGATAGATAGATAGATAGATAGATAGATAGATAGATAGATAGATAGATAGATATTAATTAAAATCAAATACGGAACAATATAGATTAAAATCCGAAGGAATGATAGGATAAGAAACAAATAGGTAATATTTATAAATTTAACATTTTTCGCATTTATTTAAGCTTCCTCCGATAAGGAAATATGTAGGAGAAAAGCTAATTCTGGTATTTTTATTTTTGTGTTTTCCATTGGTTGAGCAGCCCTCACGCGTATCTATCCTGTCAAGCAGCGTTTATGTGTATAATCCATGTGTGTATGAGTATCATAATTCTAGTTTTTCAATACGGGATAAGATGATAATGTATATTCGTTTTTGTACATGTGTGCGTTTGAGCATCTAGTAGGTATTTTCATCTCTGTTTTGTGGCAGCGCGTGTGTCGAGTTGGGGAAGTTATGTGTGAGAGTAAAAGAATTTAAGTTACACCGCCTACTAGACGCTCAAACGCACACACGCACACACGCGCAGAATCTAATATACATTATCATCCAGACCCCGCATGGACTAACTAGAATTATGGTACACATATACACGTGAATTATACATACGAACGCTGCTTGACAGGGCAGTTCAGTGATGTCTGCTTAACCAAAGAAAAACAAACACCAAAGATATAAAAATACCAGAATTTTACTTTCTCCTCCATGTTTCATTAAAAGAAGATTAAATAAAAGCGAAACATGTTAAATTCATTAAAATTTACTCTTTGTGATTTCTCTGTCTAGCTTTATTCATCTCTCCCTATTTATTTATCTCAGTTAGTTCATAATTATCTATCTCAGCCTGTTCATATCTATCTATCTATCTATCTATCTATCTATCTATCTATCTATCTATCTCAGCCTGTTCATATCTACCTATCTAGATAACACACACACGCGCACACGCACACAATTATATATATATATATATATATATATAGAGAGAGAGAGAGAGGGAGAGAGAGAGAGAGAGGGAGAGAGAGAGAGATCGAAATGTGTAATGAATGTGTTAATGAAAACATTTTCTCCTTGCAATCTTTTTTTACCCTCGTATCAAAAGAAACCAGACGAGCTTAGTTTATTCACCTATATATATATATATATATATATATATATATATATATATATATATATGTGTGTGTGTGTGTGTGTGTGTGTGTGTGTAAAAGGACAATATAAATAAAGATAAAAGGAAACCTTATGTTAGCCGATGTGTTTAGTCCTCTGATAGACTTTACGAAGGCAAATGTAAGGATTTTATTTTGCAAGAATTTTTTATAAACAAAAGTAAAAAATGTTGCCATTTTTACAAAATGTTCAATTTAAGAAACGATTCATCAGGTTACCTGAAAGCGTCTAGATAATTATGGAGAATGCTAAATGACGTAATTTAATGTCTAATAAACAAACGTGAATAAATGATGTTCTTGTTGAATTTTTTTTAATCTAATTAATATTTATAGTATTTTAATTTGAGATGAATTTATGTGTTATATATTTTAAATTAAATGTGGTTATGAATTTAACATTTTTCTTTTAATTTGTTAACTTTTTTATGGCTATGTATGTTGGCTTAGGAAAGTATTCATTCTTTCAAGAACGGGGGAATTTTAAAAAATCCGCGGCGTAGGTTTATATTTTGATAAGATTTGATACTCTCGAAAATTCTCAATGTAATTAAGTTAATTTCTTTTTTAATAAATGTACCACTCTTTAAATCGACGCTGTGATTTAATTTATTTCTGTGTATGACTAATCCATTTGATAAATTGTTGAGTATAAGATACTTTTGTGTTCATAGATAAATTGAATTTCTGTAAGTTTCCCCAATGTATATTGAGGAGCAGTTGCGACAGTTCATGTTTTATATACCTGCTTAAATTATTATTATGAATATTTTGGGTTCTGAACATATCCATAATAGTTTCGTATGTGGTTGTAATTATTTTGATATTTTTTACATTTGATAAATTGTTTTTAATAGTAAACCATCAGGAGTTTGGTTGTACTATGTTTTTATCTAGCTTATTGCCATTGTTATTGTTGTCAATATCTTTTGCGCGGCTGTATATTTTGTATGCCTTTCTTATATCATTGTGGATAAAATACCGAGGAAACTGGAGGTTTTTGAAAGTGTTTTTTTATGTATGCATCGGGTGTTCCAGATTCTTAGCGCTTTTAAATGTAACCCTATAATTATTCCAGATTTTATCTAGCTACAATGGTGGAAACAAAGATTTTACGATCATTCCTGTTCGTGGATATTCTGTAAATCTCTAACTGAAGGTCGTTATTAGTTCTATGTAGGTTGATATCTAGGAAGGACAAAGTGTTGTTAGATTCATATTCAAAGTTAACATCTATTGTGAGGTCGACGTTCGCTGACAAGATCGGGTAAAAACTGGATATATTAATAGACTCATCTATATATCTAAAATAAGAATTTTATGGTAAAATATTTTTGAAAAGACCAACTTCCAGAAATTCCAAAAATAGACAATCCAAAACACAACTTAGGGGAGAGCCCATCAGTAAACCCTATTGATCTATTAATCAGTAAATCTAGAAATATTTTTATGATCTTCTAATTAACCTGGAGTATAGGTGGGAGCGTTCTTAAATTTTAAAAAAAATTGAAAAATTAATATTCTTACTTCTGTTTATAAATACTTGTTGCAAAATAAAATGTTTACATTTGTTTTGATAAATTCCATCAGAGGACGAAACGCGTCGGCTAATATAAATTTTCCTTTTGCCTTTATTCAATGAGTATTGTGCTCAAAGTTGTGGATAAAATATCCGAAGTTCTTATTTCACTACTTTTGTTCAAGTACTTTCGACATTCGAAATCATTGTCAAGAACCGATGTGGTGTCAGTGTCGTAGTTCGAATATATATATATATATATATATATATATATATATATATATATATTTCTAAAGAATTAATGGTTTCATTTTTAATCCAAAATTTTTATTACTTATTACTTAATATGGTAATATTTCGGATGTCTAGTCGCACTGAAGAGCTATGATAGAGCGAAACAGTACTGTCTGCGAATGACATATATAGTTGTATATTTAGGCAGCAATCCTTCCTTTATGCATGTTTCATTAAAAACGACAGACAAGGTACTACGGTTGAGCTTTTTATTTAATTTTTCTTGTGTTCTGACAAGAGCTTTCTTTTCTGGACAAAGGATGTGTAAGAACTGTCCGAATGTTTTATATTTCCGAGCGCTTTCGGCTATACCTTTAGCCATTATCAAGGATGATTTGATTATCAGCTTAGTAGAATGTGTGCGTTCTGTGTATGTTCAGTGTGTGGTAGTGATGTTTTTAATTTCCGAATACGGTTAGCACATTATGGCTTTGTTCATAGTTAATATTGTTAAGAGTTGGCTTATTCTTTTTTATTATTAGAGCTTCAATTATTTTTAGTCTTTTTTTGCAAGTGGATGCAGTTAATATATTTGTGTTTTCTACTAGTATGTTCCTAATAGTGTCGGGTAAATCTGAGTATGTGTTTAAATGTGTTCTGATGGAGCAGAACATATATAAACGAATGACATATATATATATATATATATATATATATATATATATATATATATATATATATATATATATATATATATTGTGTAGGCAGAAATCCTTCATTTATGCACGTTTCATTTAAAATTAAAAACGACTGACAAGTGCGATTAAAAATAAATATCTTAATCGCAGTGCCCTGTCCGTCGTTTTTAATGAAACACACACATATATATATATATATATATATATATATATATATATATATATATATATATTGAAATGTTTCTACACTATTAATAAAAACATATTTTGTCCCTGTAATCTTTCTTACACGCGTATCAATGAAACTAGACGAGTTTAGTTTGTTTCGTTACTGCGCATGTGTGCACCTCGAATTGAGTGGAAGGGAAGTTGGTTAGACATATCTCACCTCCTAATCAACGCTAATATTTTTACCTTTCAAAATAACTACAACTATCTCGATTGTTATTCTTCCTCTTGCTTTGCAGTCAATACGCCTCCTGCTACAGCCTTAGTTGTCGTGGTTTATTTACAGTAACAGCATCAGTCCTTTGCGAGAAGGAGCATTATGTAATCGTGTCGCTGTTGTAGCAGTTCAAACACCATTTCTGATCGCGAACGAAATCTCATCTGGATTATTTTCTGAAACTGTTGCCAACACGATTACCGGCTTATTAAATTTTATTCTTAATTATTTTTCGTTTATTGATTTCTTTATGCATGCCTATTATTAGTTAATTGTATAGGCCTATCAAATTCCGCAAAACAAATATGTAATATCTATTCTGTATGTCAGTAAATACTGGACAATTTCCTCACAGCTAAAGAGTCTTGAAGCGGTTCTACCTACTAATACTAAGATTACCAGACAATAATTAGGAACAATGCGAAAGTTTCAGGGAAAATATAAACTAAGGAAACGGTTAATTAAAATCAGAAAGATTGTGACAGGTGAAATTTCAGAGACACATAATTGTATTTCCTGGAGAGATAGTATTTTGTTGATCTGTTGTTGGGTTCCTTTCTTTATCAGTTCCAAAGCTCGAAATACAACGGAAACCGTTTTTATTTTATTTTTTTTTTTGCTACAGTTTTTTTTTTATTTCCATCTCCAAGCCTATGTATTTGCTTAGTTTTTAAAAACCTTCGCAAAGATGCTTTTTGTCAGTGTTCATTTTTTTTTCTTTTCTGTCTTTGATAATAATTTATGATCAAAATGTTTGTATTGTCCCTTCTGTGATGAGAGAAAAACCCGAGAGGATGGTCACATATGCTCCCTCAACTACAGATTCAGGATGATGTTCATACCAGTTTGCAGCTGTTTTTGTCTGGTTTGATGACAGATCTATCAATGAGGATATAGACCTACCCTGTCATGGCGATTTTTGTACTCACTGCGTGTGAGTATTAAGCAAGTTGTGATAAGGTGATCAATAGTTTCAATATATTCGTCACTGAAACTACATTTTGGATTCGTACTATGATGCAAGATATTAGCTTGGTAGCTGCGTGTAAGCGGGCTCTGATTCCGGGTAGCAAGAATAAACCCTTGTCTCACCTTTAAGTCCCAAAGTCCTTAGCCACTGGCGGATTGCGAATTAATCTACATCAGAATTTTTCTTTAGAGAAGAAACTCGCAATATAATGGTTGTTCCTCCATTTTCTATTTATTATTATTTTTTATTTTTGCTATTTTTTAATCATTTCACCCCAAGCAAGGCGGGAATGCCACTCGTGTGCAGGGAGTTGCAGACAGTGAAAGTGAAATAAAAGACTGGGTATGGGAGGGGTATTGAGGAAAGGATAAAACATGAACGGGGTTCAAGTCAACAGAAGATGGTGGTTGATGTTGCATTTTAATTTTTGAAAATTGTAGTTATCAGGGAAGAACATACGCGGAAGGGAGTTCCACTGTCGGGAAGGGTGAAAAAAGAAACGGTTGGAGTAGAAGTGGCGCTTAACTTTAACTATTTCAACAGTAAAAGGTGGGACCTATATGCCAATCTAGTAGCACGCTTAAATTAATGTAGTCGGGGCACAAGGGAAAAAAGGTCCTCAGAGAAGTTGCCATGAAAATATTTGTATTATTATTATTATTGTTATTATTATTAATAACTGTCCCTCTTGCATTTAATCTGTCCCGTGAGTATCAAATTTGCTAAGCCATCTTTCCTCATTATGAACTCTTGAAATATCAACTGTCTCTTCCTGATGTATAAATGTCCTTCATGCCTTTCAGTCAGTTATGTTTCATACATGATACACTCTCGTGCGATCATGTCTAAATAGGTCGAAGATTTTCCCGCAGAAGGTTGCCTTTTCTTACTGCGGTAGACTGGTTGCCAACCAAGTCTATAGGACCCAGTCTATCTTGCTATTCAACCCACAAGTGTGGGGGGGATATATGGATCCATGCCTTTCTCAAAGGTATTTGCGCGTACTTTTTATCGGTAGAAAATACGAAATTAATTTGCTTAGAAAATATCCTATGTCCCTGTCAATATATTGATATTATTTAATGAATACAAGATCATCATTTTTAATTGATATGATCTGCACTCTGAGAGTTGAGCCTCTGATTAGTGCAGTATAACAAATGTAATTTTTTCTCCCTAAATCAATTAAAGGCTGACATTAGGTCATAGAATTATGTGTAATCAAATGAAAAAAATCATCGGAAGTAAAAGTAATTATATAAAATGATTTAATCAAAGTATAACTCAAGAATATAAGGTAATGAAAATTACTATTACACCCAAGTCAAATAAGAACAAAATAGGAAAAAAAATACTTTGAATTATAGCGAATTTAATAGTTATATCTTCACGAGGGTCCAGATAATTATTGCTAATGAAATGATTAAGTTTAATAAAGGCTCGATACGATATATCTTTGTCCCTCTCTGTCTATCTATTTATTTGTGTACACGTTTCACACAGTTTGTTTCTATTCATCTAGCTATGTATTCATTTATTTCCTTCCTTCCTTCCTTCCTTCCTTCCTATCTATCTATCTATCTATCTATCTATCTATCTATCTATCTATCTATCTATCTGCAACGTTTAACGTGTGTAGTAGTGAGTTAACTGAGAAGTGTTCCGTTTAACAATGGCAGGATATTTATATTCTGAGCAGGCAGATATGGTTTTTGCATACGTTCGCGAATTGCGGTGGACGGGAGACTGTCTAATTTCTAAGAGCTATCTAATTCTTGTACACACACACACACAAAAACGCACACACACACACACACTTATATATATATATATATATATATATATATATATATATATATATATATATATATTATGAAATAGATTAATATTTACAGTTTATACGTTATTTTAATAGATACAATTTATTTAAGTAAATAATCTGTTTTAAATAAACATTATTAATTACATTATATTTATTACATGTAAACACGCAGCACATAAATAAAAAACACCAGAATTCGCTTTTCACTTCCTTATTTCATTTTCTGATGAAGCTTAAATAAAAAGTGAAAATATTAAATTTCTATTTGTTCTTTATCCTATCATTTTGTCGGATTCATATTGTTCTGTACTTGATTCCAATTAATATATATATATATATATATATATATATATATATATATATATATATATATATATATATATATATATAGATAGATAGATAGATAGATAGATAGATAGATAGATAGATAGATAGAGTAGCAATATCTCTGTTATACATGTACACTGGTAAGGTACTGCAATGAAGCTATTTATTTTTCTCCTTATGTTAAGTAATTTTGTCTGGACACAAAGTGTGTACAAACTGTCCAAAATTTCTGCATATCCGAGCGCTTTTTCGGCTATACTTTTAGCCATTCTCAAAGTCGACATTCATTTTCATTTTTAGTCTTAATTATGTCCGTGTCTAAGAGTATAGGAATGTTTTATTTTCTGAACAGGGTCAGCACATTGTAGCCGTGTTCAAAGATAATGTTATTGAATGTTGGTTTTTCCTTTTTTATTATTAGGGCTGTCAATATTTTTAATCTTTTTTACATGAGAATGAGGCTATTTTACTTGTACTTTCTAATAGTATATTGGGATGGAGTCTGGTAGGTTTGTTTGTGTAGTAAAATGATTCCTAATAGAGCTATGGTCGGGTTGGTGTAACGTAAGTCGTCTAGATAGGCATAAAGTATGATGATCAATGTAATTATTTCTGAGTTTGGTTTGTTCAGGAATAAAGTTCCTTAAAGGACATTTGAACTCGTCAATAATTTTGATTATTTGTAGTTTTGATTTTACGTGCGTGGCGATAAGTTTAGTTATTCTAAATTTTTTATGATAGATAATTAATTTAATTTTTTTTTTCGGGTTGACTAGGGTTTTGTATTTCTTTATGATATTTCTAAGAGAAAATTATATATATATATATATATATATATATATATATATATATATATATATATATATATATAAGTATACGAATATACAATACACACTTACACATCATACCCACTCACTCCCTAATGAGCCAAATGATAACACACACCTACAGCAATACACACGCTTACACATATCATACTCACTCATTCCCTAAGAACCAAATAACACACACACAAACACTAAACAGAGACACATCCCCTCACCAGGTCCAATAAAACTGTCAAACTGACCAGAGAATTCAGAGTAACATGTATCTATCCAGCTCTTATCTCAAATAACAACTTAAAAGAAAATGTTTGACCAACACAAGGAATGTTAAAAGATTCATGTTAAAAAGATAAAAAAATAAAAAAACATGAAAACTACAGACAAAAGACTCATTTCTGTAGTTTACTGCTACCAGCAAGCAGAAATATTTCTCCTACCTATGATGGCCATTTCGGTCGAAACTAGTCGAGGAATCTAAATGGAATAATAATAAAAAAACGAAAGAATATGAATCTACAACCCAGTGTGTCTAAAGATTTTAATTTTTTATTGTTCAATATATATATATATATATATATATATATATATATATTAAGAAGTCTCATTAAGTAATTTAAAAAAAACTTTTTAATAGGATCCTCTTATAATTACGGACAATTCCTTAGTATCCTCATTAAAGGAGAAAAGAAAATTACCATGTTGATGCATATTCATTTTATTCCGAGTACTTGCGGCATTAGCACAATGTCATCATCAGGCTCTTGTTTTTTTCTAAGACAAAAAATTGTTGTGTTCATCATTTTTCTAAATTTCTAGTTGTCTCCCTTGACGTTTGCATGTGTGTCTACATGATAAAGTTTTTAAAGTTTTACAGTACATAACCTTAGCGTTTTTCACTTCACACGTAAAAATTTGATTTTCAGATGAACACAATTGCGGCAGTAGTTACGGAAGTGGTCTTGCAGATCAATATTACTAAGTCATGAATTAGATCATCACAAGTGGGTGGTTGCCTAGTTGTCATTTTTAAAGACAGTTCTGCCTTTTAAATTTTTGAGTTCTTTATTTTACATTGTTTAAACACACCTTATCAAGGATGCTTGCATAAATTCTTGATCTCTTTTTTCTCCCTTGTGTTAAACGTTTATTTACAGAATATTATAGACAAGGGATTATTGTCAATAAGACTTGAATTAATTCCTGATCATAGACAACACTTTCTTCCACCATTCAACGCATTTATATGGAAGATAATTTATTGCCAGGAATTGGTTTACTAATTCCTGATTAATAACAATGACTTTCAAATTATTTTTCAATGCATTTCTATTAGAAAACAGTTAGGCATGATTTTCCTGGCAATAATTTTTGTGAAAATGATTAATGTTGATAATGTTTTTCTTTTTATTGCTGAATGCATTTCTGTAGTAAAACTTACATGGCATTTCAACTCAACTTTTTAACAGGAAAATCAATTCCAATTTCGTTGTCTGGGTCACTTTTCCATTGCTCAAACGGGTCGACATACAATTCAAGTCGTTTATGTGTGAATTATATCAATTCTTCCCACGGGTTATTGGTATTAACTCTTTTCGTTTCAATGTCTCTCAGCACACAGCACTTCTTTCTTATGTTTCCGTTTTACGGCGGCAACGACAAATAGTATCACAGAGGTAGCTCAGCCCAACACTGCAAATTGATACAAAACCAAGACACCAACCTGAAAACTCGGGCCATGATCATAAATAGCCTCGTCAGATCGAGACTTTCATATGGATGTCATGCATGGCACCAAACCTGTTCATAAATATCTAAACTCTCAGCTGTATACAACCGCTTGCAAATGACTGGTGAACAAAATCTTTGGGGGAGTAATGTCAGTGAGTCTTGGCAAAGACCATCCTGCTTTGAAACTTGAACAAATAAAGAACTGTACCAAATAACAGAAATCATATCAATTGATGACTACCAACAGCAGCAACAACTTGAATGGATAGCACGTGGTACTAGAAGAGAAAATAATGACATAATCAAGATGTTAACATTTTACACCAATTCCAATAATAGAAATACATGAAAGCGTCATAACATCTATTGGGTTTAAGAAACTTGTTTTTCTAAAAAATTGTTTTAAAAAAAGCGGACGGGAGCCACCTTGTCCCTGCAGCCTTCCCTGTCAACAAAAACGTCGGAATATTCTCCAGGGTCAGATTAATATACGGGAGGCCCTGGCTCACTAACTCCAATATTAATTTGAGAGAAACCTATTTTCCTGAAAAAAAAGTTTTAAGAGATTTTTTATAAATTTTAACCAAAAGTAGTACTGGCTGCTCGATCAATGAATGCCAAATATTTCCTTGGAGGGAAACGGCTTACATTTCAATATCTTTCTTCCTAATTTCAAATCATTTTGAGTAATACGTTTTTTTTCTGACTGTTGACAATCTCTATCAGATTCCCAATGCATATCATAGGTAAAAATCTTTGCAACGCATTTCTTGTCAATATTATTTGAATTCATTCATAATCAATAACAATCATTCTGTTGTAATACACAGCAAGAGTGTGTTGAGTTTGGAAAACACCTAACCGATTGCACTCCCAGCAACTATGGGAATAATAGGGAGAGAAAGGAAAAAGAGACGGGCGTGGGTAACAAAAATAACACTGCCTCGGAAAACAAAGCAAATTTAGGAACAAAATGCCGACGGGACCTACTTCACAAAACACCGTACCTACGATTTATTACTGACTGAATGCAGAAATTGTGACCAAAGGACAAAAAAAGGGGGAAGATAGGTTAGGATTGGTCAACACTAACTATCCTATACCAATGTAATAAGATTCGCAATTTATCCATTCATTAAAATTTACTCATTCACTACAAAAACTCATCCCTCACAATTCGATCCAACATGTACCTCAATACTACAAGTTCACAGGGAACCTTCAATAGCCCCCATGACATTAAAATTTCAATATGTACAATTATGTATACAAGACACTGTGTCTTGCCGACTGCTAGTTTTTGAGTAGATTTATTGACATGAAGACCTAGATCTTGTCCATTTGCAGAGGGGCACGTATCTAGACATGCTAAGCTGTCCGTTGCTAATGGAGTAAACCATTATGTAACTAGTGTTGACAGACATGTCCGCACGCGATTCGGGTCGTCTTTTGCATCTGTAACGACGCGCATTCGCCACACATCCCTCTTTCAAATGATATAACGCAATCTACAAAAATAACATCATTATTTAATTTATTTTCAATAATTCTTATATGAATTTCTGACTACTGACGTTCTTTATTTTCCTCATTTCCAAACCATTTCTATAGAAAAATCGTTGAGAATGTATTGCTTATCACTAATGTGTATAATAATTACTGATAATTTTTTTTCTAATTTTAAGTCATATCTATAGAAAAACCGTCAGTAGTGCATTGTCAGAAACTCTTGTCTTAACTTCTGATGACGGAATATCTCCTTCATCCTGATTTACAAAATATATTAAAATTCAAAAGATTTGGCAGTGTATTATTTGACTTGCTTAAAATTAATTCACGACTATTTAAAATAACCTTCTTTCTGATTTTAATGCAATCTATAGGGAAAAACCATTAGCATTTAATATATTGTCAGTAATGTTGACT